CTTACCTCGCTGTCGCTACCGTTTCTCGTAGAATTGTCCATGTTGTGATAGAGTTCAGCGTCTGTAATGTTTCCTGTGTTTGTTTTGGACATCAGAAAAATAAATAAAATGATTGCAGCCTCTGTTTCCACAGGTTTGAGGGAAAGATGCAGACGGGAATCTGTTTCGTGATGGTTTGTTCACTACACTCAGTTTCCGATATGTCTTCCCAGCAGTGTTCCAGCTTCATGTTCAGCTTATGTTGTGTCATACTGCATCAGTTTGGTCTGACTTGCTACCATGTGTATGTTAATAGGCCTTGTTCAACGTTCCGAAACTCTCCTGTTATCGGACCAATTACAGGCTGTCCCGTAGCATCCCAGCAAATTCCTCGTGGTTGTCGCCGTGTTTGATTCGTAGTAGAGTAAAACCTGGTGTAAGCGACCACCTGCTCTTAACGACCGTTTTTCCATGCGCCGACAGTTCTACACAGACACAGTGGGACCTGGTTCTAAAGACCATCTGGCTTTAACGACCGCTTTTGCTTGCACCGTGGGGTGGTCGCTTAAACCAGGTTTTACTGTAGGGTCAAGTAGAGTGTTTGGCTGTGTGGCCTGGACAGGCAACCATTTTTTTGTCGGGATTTTTCTGGTACCACCATTTTTTGTCGGGATTTTTCTGGTACCACCATTTTTTGTCGGGATTTTTCTGGTACCGACTCTATGGCACTTACATGTAGAACCATATTTGGCACCCTCGCCTCGACTTGGTCGAGTCCTCTTTCTGGCTGCTCCCAGCATCTGCCCTGGTGCAGACATCACCAAGCTCGGGTAGAGCTCTCTGACCTTGATGCTTTGAGGAGAGGGTTTAAATTACCAAGTTGTTCAAAAAACGTTCTTCTTGAAATCGGGTCGGCCGGAGACTTTGAGCTCGGCTGATGAGACCTGAGGAGGTTGAAACAAGCACTTCAAGTACCTGTACTGTGGTTTTCACATACTTCGTATATCCTGCTCTTTTCTTGCTTGCTTTAAATTCACGATCTAAGATGCAGTCAACAACAGTCGTGTGCTAATTGTTGCCTACCACCACGTATCTCTCTCTTGTGTTGCCTTGTCCCTTTGTTCTTTCTCCTGTCCAGGTGGACATGCTGGAAGCCCAAGTCAAGCGCTTAAAGGGCCTGCAAGAGGAGTCTGTAAGTAGTTGCACGTGTTCTTAACCCTTGCCCTTTCGCAGGCACAATGTGTTCCGGGATGCTGTCCTGGTGTGTGTGGGCGCATTGACCCCCCCCCCCCCCCCCCCAGAACCGTAACGCTCACCACCACCACTGCATGAATTTTTCAGCAAAATCTCCTTTGTCAATCCAGCAACAACTTTAAGCTACTCCAAGTTTGCTGATAAAGGCTTTTCGCTCCCTGTGACAAATCAGTACAAGGCCAGCTCAAGTTTAAGTACTAATAGCTGATGGATGAAGAAGTTTTAAAGATAGTCCGGATGATGTTTGTGCAGCTCTTACGAAACTTCTTCGGATGCTGAGAATTGCTGATGGATCGCCTCTTGCCCCATCTTGCACTCCGATCTTTGGAAAATGGGACAATTCACTACAATTCAAGCCTAGCTTTTCCCTGGCAAAATATATTCTGAGTACAAGTCACACCCAGATTTTTTGTCACGAAATACAGACATCCACCCTATTCACCCTATTCATCACGGTTCATCACGGTTAATCAGACCATCTTAGTATAAGCCGATCCGGACTTTTTTTCGGGTGATCACTGGTGTGGAAAGTGAGGCATATACTCCGGAAAGTACAGTTCTTCGTTGACCTATTGGCAGATATAGGATCCTGCCGGGCTACCGTTCCGTTATTCCCTACCACTAGATGTCAGAGCAAGTTGAGGTATTGTTTTGGTCAACCTTTTGGAGCAATTTGCTTAGCAGCCGAGGCCCCTCTTTCATCCAACACTGTCTGGCTCCACTTCCTTTCCCAAGGTCAAGGTCTATATCTCACTTCACGTTGTTCTTCATGTTGTATTACACTCGCAGGAGGCAATGGAGGACGAACTGAAGCTGGAACGGCGCAAGTTACAACGTGAGGTATGTTCTTGATTACCGTCGACATGCGTTCTATCTAGACTTACACATGCGATACACGACGGAAAGTAAAGTCTTATCTTGTTATGATGGAGAATGTCCTGGTTCATGCACTCTTGTTGTTATGATGGAGAATGTCCTGGTTCATGCGCTCTTGTTGTTGTGACTCAGAATGTCCTGGTTCATGCACTCTGCCTATGACCGGCATTGGGCACTTTAGCAGATTAAGGTGCGCTGCCTCAGTGTGTGTGTGTGTATGTGTGTGGATTGGTGGATGTATGATGGTATGTGTGTGTGTGTGTATACTTATGAAAACATGTATGGTCCTAGACTTAGAGCGGGGTTGTGACTTGGTTTGTGCAGCTCACATTGCAATGCGGTTTTCACTGCAGTTGTAGATTGTGGAGCAAGCTCGTATCCCATATGCCTGCAGTGCTGTCATAATACTGCTTCTTACTAGAATTCATCGTCCATGGTGTGTATGCGTGCGTCCTCGAGTGTGTGCGTTGTGTGTGTGTGCGCGCGCGCGCGTGCGCGCGCGTGTGTGTGTGTGTGTGTGTGATCGTGCGTGTGTTGATAACTCTAGATGCGACAAGCTAAAAACCAAGCCGAAGAACTGGAGGTGGAAAACGAGCGATTGCAGAAACGAATCGAGCAGCTAAAACGACGACACCAGCGAGATTAGTTTTCGCTGACAAACGGCGCGTTACCAAATGAACAGCTAGCTGAGTGACAACTCTGGTGTGTGTTGTGTGTGCAGGTGTGTGCGTGCATGTGCACTCGCAGGCGTGTGCGTGTATGTGCACTCGCAAGCACTTTCGAATGTGTGTGTGCGTGCGTGTGTGTGTGTGTGTGTGTGTGTGTGTGTGTGTGTGAGAGAGAGAGAGAGAGAGAGAGAGAGAGAGAGAGAGAGAGAGAGAGAGAGAGAGAGAGAGAGAGAGAGAGAGAGAGAGAGAGAGAGAGAGAGAGAGAGAGAGAGAGAGAGAGAGAGAGAGAGAGAGAGAGAGAGAGAGAGAGAGAGAGAGAGAGAGAGAGAGGAGAGGGGAGAGAGAGGAGAGGGGAGAGAGATAATGAAACCGACAGATAGAGCTATATTGATAGTACATCCACATGTAGTAGCTGTAAGCTCGCTGGCAGCATGCTCGCAACTTGCAGCGCAGCTCAAGAAATGCAGTGCACACCACTGCACCGACTCATCTAGCCGCACTCTTAGCCCATGTATAAGCCTTGATTCCCGGATCTGTGTGCATGCAGCACTGAGAGCTATTCGAGCATGCCAGAACACAGCATGTTGATGAATATGAGCAGCTTGCTTTGCCTTGCCAATGTCACGCACCAGTCCCACACATGTGGGTTTTGCCAGAACCGTGCGTGTGCCTGTGCGAGTGCATGGCACTGGATGTTCATGTTGCTCCGTCCTGTTTTTATGACAAAGACTTTTTTTCTTTTCTAAGCACCGTGAACTCTTTTGCTGCCACCTGCACCCTCCTATCTAGTCTCAGCTCTCGCCTATACTCATTTCACTGTACATTGACAATGAACAGATAGGTTAGTAGGTACATTTCTACTTTGTTTGGTCTTTTCACTTCGTATTCCCAGCCAATGGACCATGGGCAAGCAAGTGCTCAGGCTAGGCTAGCACGTTTTGCATCCTTGTTTTGGCGACGCGTGCGTGTGTTCGTGCGTGTGTATGTGTGTGCGTGCGTGTACATGCACACAGTTGCCTTCCTTCTGGCCTATACCATATTTGCAACACACTTTTTAACTCGCCTGCATTACTGCCCCCTCGAGGTCCTCCGATCTCATGGGCTTTTTTTAAATTTTTTAATGGATTCTCCCTGCTGATGGCTCATGAGGGACCATCTGTTGAGGATGGACAATGTTCATAGAACAGATATCATCAAGAGTGGTTCCACAATATTTCTCATGCTGCTGAATGTGGGTTGAAGGTGTGCATGTGGTGTGGACAGTGGAGCCAACGACGCGGCCCACCGTGATCATGTGACCCCGTTGATGATCATGTGATCCATGAATGATCATGTGACCCCGTTGGTGGTCATGTGACCCATTGATGCAGGAAGGGGGGGGGGGGTGGGAAGCTGGAACAAACACATACTTTCATAGCTTCCCTGTATGGTCAAGTGAGAGATGGATCCCATCATCCCAGACTATAATACCGTATTAGTAGTATCACATGACCATTGAATGTTTATAGAGATGGGAAGTAAAAATTAATGAGATTCCCAATCTGTATCTGTTGCGCAAAAAAATACTGCCCGGCGTCAAAAGGCAGGGTGTTTGGACTTTCACGACTACAGTCGTTGCACCATCACCTACTCATACAATGACCATGCTCCACTACTGCACTAGACGCCGTTCAACTGCGCAACCCATTAGTAGTCAATATAGCGCTAAGGATTGAAATATGCAGGAATATTTGACTGCTTAGGTATAGCGAAAATCAATGGGAGTAAACTAAGGGACCATCGCAAAAGTTCGCAGAAGCCCCCGAAACGAAGACCGTGAGTTTCGGGCCTGACCCCCCTCCCTCCCCCCTCAAACGAAACGACAGTCACAGTATGGGCTTCATTATTTCACTTGGATGCTGCACACATAATAATTATTATAATAATACTACACAGCAGGGGTTCATAAACCCTATGAATGATCATGTGACCCCGTTGGTGGTCATGTGACCCATTGATGCAGGAAGGGGGGGGGGGGGGGGTGGGAAGCTGGAACAAACACATACTTTCATAGCTTCCCTGTATGGTCAAGTGAGAGATGGATCCCATCATCCCAGACTATAATACCGTATTAGTAGTATCACATGACCATTGAATGTTTATAGAGATGGGAAGTAAAAATTAATGAGATTCCCAATCTGTATCTGTTGCGCAAAAAAATACTGCCCGGCGTCAAAAGGCAGGGTGTTTGGACTTTCACGACTACAGTCGTTGCACCATCACCTACTCATACAATGACCATGCTCCACTACTGCACTAGACGCCGTTCAACTGCGCAACCCATTAGTAGTCAATATAGCGCTAAGGATTGAAATATGCAGGAATATTTGACTGCTTAGGTATAGCGAAAATCAATGGGAGTAAACTAAGGGACCATCGCAAAAGTTCGCAGAAGCCCCCGAAACGAAGACCGTGAGTTTCGGGCCTGACCCCCCTCCCTCCCCCCTCAAACGAAACGACAGTCACAGTATGGGCTTCATTATTTCACTTGGATGCTGCACACATAATAATTATTATAATAATACTACACAGCAGGGGTTCATAAACCCTATGAACCCCTGCTAGTACTAGTACTAGCAAGAGTCCATAAACCACGCGTTTTATGGACTCTTGGTACTAGACTACACACAGTGTACAGGCAGCCAGCTACGCGACACGCGCAGTTGCATGAATGGACTACGCGTCCTGACAAGCGATATCTACGCCGGCTGTGATGGCATGCTAAGGCCAAGTAAAAAAAAAAGCTAGATGATCGTCCCCGTCCGCCCCAGTTTTTGTCAGCGCCCCAAGAAATATTTTATTTTTTAAATCGTGAGTTTTACTATATGGACCACATACTACTAGTATATCACAACGTCAGTATCGATCTGCTGAAGAAAGAAAAAGAAAAAAAGAAAAAAAAAGAAAAAAAGAGAAAAAAAACCTTGATGTTGTTGTGTACACTGTGTGCATGAGAGGGTAAAAAGTAAAAAAATAAAAATAAAATCCTCCCGCCCTCCCCGATTTTTCCAAAAAAAAGGACGATCATCTAGTAATTTTTTTTACTCGGCCTAATCTATAATAGATATCCTTAGCTAAAAAAACGCTAACGTAAACGCAAACCTTTCCGTACTTCGGATCGTTCAAGCTGACTTTTCCCTTAGCACAAAGTACGTTATAGTTGAGACGAAGTAGTCGTGACAACCATGGCGATATGAATTTTCGTGGAAACAGATGCGGGAAATTCAAAATTTTGAACCAGGGATTAGTTTGCTGTCGTTCCGAAAGAATACCTTGGCGAGGTCTTTTACTCTGGAATAGCAAAAGCACGGCGAACATGAGTTTTCGATGTTCCCAGGTCCTTGGAAACCCTTTCCTAAACGCAGCACCGAAGACTGTAAGGGTTCTCCAGCTCCAGCACGTCTGGGAGAGGCCGATGAATTTCTTCCTCAGGAGTGCCGCGGAACTGGTCCTTTGTTTCCCAGATGGGATAGAGGGAGAACGGCACGAAGCAGAGGACGCAGAAATTGTCAACTGAAAGGCAAAACTCGCCAAAAAGCTAAGTGTCACAAGAGGAAGCAATCTCGACTCTCGATCTCATCTCGATCTGTACGTCGACGTGCTTTTTATCTCCCGCCAGTTACAAAAAAATGCGAGTTTTTGCATTTTTTTGCAGAATTTCCATAACGAACGTCGGCCCGTTATTTTGAGCTCTGTAACGTTTTTCCGTTATCCGATAACGTCTTTTGTCACGGCTGGGAGTGAGTACCGTAAAAGTTAGCGTTATCGTACTTTTGCTAAGGATGTCTAATGTTAGCCTTTGGGTAATCCTGAAATAAAGATTATTATATCAGCTCCTACATGTCGTCAATACTTTTTTGAATTGAAGCCCGGTTTGCGATTTTCGACACGACTCCCCCCCCCCAAACGTATGCTCTTCGTTTCAGGGGCTTCTGCGAACTTTTGCGATGGTCCCTAAGAGTATTAGAGAAAAGAGAGTGAAACCGGCACTAGTTACAGTAGGCGAGTTCGTTATGTGGCGTCGACTACAATAGTCATTGTACGATCATCATGTGTATTGGGGTCGTCCTACAAAGGCCCATGCCAGGGGGGGGGGGGGGGGGGGGGCATGCGATGCGCTACTCGGGAGTACTCCACACAGTCTGTGCCTGCGACGTGACGTGGGACACTGCACTACATGTACATTTTGTTCTCTCATGTTATGGCATTTGTTAGATGCAGGATTTCCTTCAGCCTTCTGAAATCCTGTATCATGTGCATTCGCGGTTGTAGGCGTTTAAATTTTAGTTTGAAATTTGCACCCTCCTGCGGAGCCCACGCTGCTTTGGCAGTGCTAGTGGCGGAGGCTCGCTTGCCGACGTAACCAAGGTAACCGTCGGAGATCATCATGAACAATGGACTGACTAATTACTAAGTATTCACTTGTCCTGTCTTTATAAATAACAATGTCATGTTATTGCACATCAAAAAAATGAAGAAAAAAAACTACATGTACATGACATGAGCAATCCAGCTACTTGAGCTAGCTAGCTACACATGTACAGTGTAGACTGTAGTGTAGTGCATGCTACACAGTGCTGGCAGCTGTACTGTACTGTGCGTTCACATTGACTAGAGCTTTGACTGTTTGAGTTCTCTGTATCTATTATTTTCGTAGTTTTCTGTGTTGGGTCTTTGCGAAGTG